TACATGGTCTTTTGTGGTGATTGTTCTTCCTTCATTTTGGCCTGCAATCGACATGCCATTTGCCGGGAGTGTATGTTGGGCATGCTCAATGCCAGCTGTCGTGGCAATTGTTGTGCTGAGAATGCTCAGCTAGGTCTTCCATGTGCCCATCCACCTCATCCTTACAATGTGTGTCCTCGCTGACGTCAAGGACAGACTCATTTGTGAGCCTTTTCTTATCCTTGCTTTCCCTTTTTCGTTTTCCGTTTCTCTTCTCTTCACTCCTTGTGTTTATCACCTCCCCCCTTACTCTGCCTCTTTCTCACAGCGTACAAGTAGGCTGTTATGGCACACGGCGATGGCGTCCAGCTTGCGCTCAACTCCATCAACGTGGCAAGCCTTGTACGTGAGAGGCACGGTAAAGGGGGAGTTAAAAGAAGAATGAGAAATATGAATAGTTTGTGTGCTCCTCATCCTTTTTTTTTTTTTTTTTTTTTTCCCCTTCAAATCACATCGAATCGGATCAGGATAAAAGTGTGGTACATTCCTGCCAGCATTGATTACCCTGGGGCCCAGGGGATTGACTGAGCAGGAGGTTGGGAGGGGGGAACCTCTTCACCCTGAACCTGGCGCCGGATATCTGCTATCCCATCCTAGTTTGTTTTGTTTTCTTTTAATCTTTTACCGTTTGTTTCACAAAGTGCGCTCTTCTAGTTCATAGTTATGTGACAATGGTGACCTAAAATCTTATGTATCTAGGGGCAGCTCGCGCTCAGACTTCATCGACATGCCGAGCTTGTACGTGAGAGGCACAGTACCACGGGAGCTAAACAAACAAACAATTACACATAGCCAACGAGACGGAAAGAAAAGGAAGAATTGTGATGCAAACTTCCCAAAGTTGTTTATTTTTAGCGTTCTTCGTCACCTGTGCTTGGAACTGAACCATCACTGTTTTAGGAGTACAGGGTTGCCTGAGGTTACTTTACTGGCATTCAATGGCGAAAATGCTCGAACTTCTCAACCACTCTGGTTCGATTCGAAAACGATTCCAAGGAGCTGTCTTTCCTCTTTCCTTCTCATCTTTATCCAACATATCACGACCGGTATGGATCCAGTTTTAATAACACCTCCAAGGGTTGTAGACTTGTAGTGGTTACGATACTTGGCCCCTGTGCAGGAGGAGGGTGCCGGTTCGAGGCCGTCCGTGTACGGCAGGGCATGATGCTAAACACACGTTGTCAGTGAATCTCCACTCAGTCTGTCTATTATATTAGCGACCATCTTTATCAAACATTTACCTGTTCATCATCAATTTCTTGTCCTTTTCAAAGGAAATAAGAATCGTGCTGCAGATCTTACATTGAAAATGACACAGTTAAAATC